TCCAGGGGAGGCTTCCAGGTGAGGCTTCCAGGTGAGGCTTCCAGGTGAGGCTTCCAGGGGAGGCTTCCAGGGGAGGCTTACAGGTGAGACTTCCAGGCGACGCTTCCAGATGAGGCTTCCAGGTGAGGTTTCCAGGTGACGCTTCCAGGTGAGGCTTCCAGGGGAGGCTTCCAGGTGAGGCTTCCAGGTGAGGCTTCCAGGTGAAGCTTCCAGGTGAGGCTTCCAGGTGAGATTTCCAGGTGAGGCTTCCAGGTGAGGCTTCCAGGTGGCAATTTAGCCTCGACAAGGATAATGTCTATATGTCGTGACTCTGCTCTCCCTTCTGAGGTAATTGATTTTATTCCCAGCTCGGGTCAATGAGTTTTTTTTTTTTTCTTTTTTTTTTTGCGAGGGATAAAGGCCTTCGATAGAGCGTCTTCGTGATCGTTAATTCGCCTACAGATTGATGACATCCTTTGCTCTTGTCGATCACAGGCCGGTGGAGGTGTGTGTGTGTGTATGTGTGTGTGTTATTAAAGATAATAATATTATAACTACTATGATCTTATTATTATCTATGATTTTATTTCTATTACTATTATTATTATTGTCATTGTTATTATTGTTGTTGTTGTTGTGTTATCATCATTATTATTGTTTTTATTGTTATAGTTATTATTATTATCATTATCATTATTATTACTTTTATGATATTTCTAATTATTATAATTATTATTATTATCACAATCATCACTATTACTATTATTATCAATATTTCATTACTACTAATATAATTGCTATTATTATCATTATCATTATAATTATTACTCTTACTAGTAGTAGTAGTAGTATCATTATCATCATTATCATCATCATCATTATTTTTATTATTTTCATTATATTATTATTATTATTATTATTATCATTTTTATCATTATCGTTATCATCATCATAATCACCATCATTATTATTATCATCATCATAACCATCATCATTATTGCTATTATTATTATTATTATTACTATTATTATTATTATTATTATTATTATCATTATTATTATCATTAATATTATTATTATTATTATCACCATTATTATTATCATTATCATTATTATTATCATTATTATTATTATTACCTCCGCCAAGGAGGTTATGTTTT